GTGTGTGGCATAGGTGACTTCTACAAATAGGAAGCATGATTGTGATCTACCATTAATTCACAACTAACATTTGCTTTGTTTTGGAGAACTTGCTATGGGTGGTCATGTCTTAATATTTAGTGAGGAGTTGAAGGTATTTAGTAGGATTTAGACAATTAAGACCTGTGAGTTTGTTGATTGAGGATCTCATGGCCTATTCGATTTTTATGAGGATCACTATAGTCTATATGCAATAAGGGTTATATACCCTATAAATGTTCCTTTAATAGAGGGAGGAGTACTGATTCCCAAGGAGTTAGAAAATTTTTGTTTCATTTGTTATATAAGAAACAATAAAGATGAATACAATTCATAACAACATGTAAATGTTGTATTTATAATTATTCTATATCAAGAAGGTTTGACAATATGTTGTTAGACAAGAATTTTTTTTGAGGAATGAGCCTTATTGTTAAGTTTGTCATTTTATAGCACCCTTGCTAAAGTGTGTGGCAGACCAGGTGGGAGGGTGAATTTGTCTTTAAAAAAGTTTTAGGTTTTTATTAAATAAACAATTTGTACATGATTGACTGCTTAATGTGATTAGCATAACACAATATGATTAATTTAATGTGTTAAGTTTTAACTTTTTTAGTAATAAATAAGACTTGATCTTACAGAAATACCAACAGTCATGCACATCATACAAGATTATCACATCATATATAGTGATTTACAAAGATTAAGTTATCTTAATTAAGTATTTTAAATTCTTTTTATCTTAATTATGTTTTCGTGTGTGTGCGCCTTGATGTTTCACATCAATCATGTGCCTAACACATACAAGAAGATATGACTCAAAAAATAAAAATATAAATTCTTGTTTTTTGGTTGTCTTCCTTCCCTCTTTAGCTCAGGCTAAGTACTCTTCCTTCAACATATGATTGCCATTATAATTGTATATTATGTCTTGAATTGATCTTCTTCTAATAAATATTTACGATTGTTAGTATAAACAACTGAAAGTTTGCACACACAAACTTATTAGCCAAAAATCAACATAATCAATTCATGTAGAATGAGCTTGTTTGATAGCCCTAGGCAAGGGTGATTCTAAGCAACTCTTAGAGTTGCAACTTTTATTTTTTTTGTAATTTTATTAAATTTGTAACTTCATAAATTTAAATAGTCACATAACATGTTATATATGTTGTTATATATAGGAAAATAAATAAATTCAATGAAATCAAATTTAAATTTTAATTTCTTTAATTTAATGAAATTATATATTTAATTATAACCAGGTTTTAAGTAATTATGATAATATAATTAGGCAAACTTAATGAAATATATAAAATCAAATAAATTTGTTGATATGGATTAACATTTAATTAACATAACTCATTATAATTTCATTAATATTAATTAATTAAGAACATAATAACATAACTAGCATTGTTAAGCTAAATTAGTGATGACCAAATTAAGTATACAATTGCTAATAAAATTTTTTTAAAACAATTTTATGTATAAATACTTATGAAATAAATTACATAAATCAAAATATAGCTCAATCAAATTTAAAAATATGAAATATTTCTTAAATTGCTAAAATGTATTTTGAATGAACTCATCAATTTTAATTATTATGCTTATCATCATTAAGAACTTCGATAAGAAACTACTCAATCAAATTGCAATGAGATCTAATTACAACTCACACACTGAAGCAAATAAATCTTGAATTTTTTTTTTCATTCTTCATAAATTATATGGTTAGGTTATTCCATGTGTTTTATTCTAATGTGTTAAGGATTTCCATTCAGTTTAAGTCATTGTGTTGATTACATCTTCAAGTGACATGTCAACAAAGGGTAGGATTACTTGAAAATTAGGAGAGAGATCCAATGGCTGCTTAGTCAAGTGGATTCCAAGTTTCACTACAGGAAAATCACTCATTACCGGTGATTTGTTCCGGCAGTTACTACTTGTTTTCCGGTGGTTTGGCTAACGACGGTCGTTTGGGCTGCTTATTACATGAGTCCTAGTATAGTTCCTTTAAGTTGATGTCATTTTAGAGTTGTATCACACCTGCACATAATTAAATGATATGAGCTAATTATCTTATGCACTAAAACTCTTTCAACTTTATTGCCCTTAGTTAATTTCTTCAAAATTATTCAGATGCTTTACTGCTAATTTGCGGTTATTTGCTTTTGTTTGTTTCAAAAGCTTACAAGCATGTATGTATGATTTTCATATATTATATCAGATTTGTGCTACTTGAATCCTCTAGGAAAGAGATCTAAAAGTTTTAGCTTTAATCAAGTGGATTCCAAGTTTCACTACAGGAAAATCACTCATTACCGGTGATTTGTTCCGGCAGTTACTACTTGTTTTCCGGTGGTTTGGCTAACGACGGTCGTATGGGCTGCTTATTACATGAGTCCTAGTATAGTTCCTTTAAGTTGATGTCATTTTAGAGTTGTATCACACCTGCACATAATTAAATGATATGAGCTAATTATCTTATGCACTAAAACTCTTTCAACTTTATTGCCCTTAGTTAATTTCTTCAAAATTATTCAGATGCTTTACTGCTAATTTGCGGTTATTTGCTTTTGTTTGTTTCAAAAGCTTACAAGCATGTATGTATGATTTTCATATATTATATCAGATTTGTGCTACTTGAATCCTCTAGGAAAGAGATCTAAAAGTTTTAGATCATGTTGGACATCTTAGGGAGAGGATTTTTGTCCTATCTTTTCATGGTTGTTGTATCATATAATCTGGATAAGTAATCCAGGTGAGACAATTGTTGAGCGCAACTCACACACCAAATCAAATAAATCTTTAAATCTTTTTTTTTTCATTCTTCATAAATTATATGGTTAAGTTATTCCATGTGTTTTATTCTAATGTGTTAAAGGTTTCCATTTAGTTTAAGTCATTGTGTTGATTACATCTTCTAGTGACTTGTCAACAAAGGGTAGGATTACTTGAGAATTAGGAGAGAGATCCAATGGCTGCTTAGTCAAGTGGATTTCAAGGTTCACTACAGGAAAATCACCCATTACTGGCGTTTTGTTCCGGCGGTTACTACTTGTTTTCCGGCGGTTTGGCTAACGACGGTTGTATGGGCTGCTTATTACATGAGTCCTAGTATAGTTCCTTTAAGTTGATGTCATTTTAGAGTTGTTTCACACTTGCACATAATTAAATGACATGAGCTAATTACCTTATGCATTAATACTCTATCAACTTTATTTCCCTTAGTTAATTTCTTCCAAATTATTCAGATGCTTTACTGCTAATTTGTGGTTATTTGCTTTTGTTTGTTTCAAAAGCTTACAAGCATGTATGTATGATTTTCATATATTATATCAGATTTGTGCTACTTGAATCCTCTAGGAAAGAGATCTAAAAGTTTTAGATCATGTTGGACATCTTAGGGAGAGGATTTTTGTCCTATCTTTTCATGGTTGTTGTATCATATAATCTGGATAAGTAATCCAGGTGAGACAATTGTTGAGCCCTCTTTCTTTCTCTCCTCATCTTCTTCTCCCTTCTCTCTATCTCTCTCTCTCTCTCTCCCTTCTCTCTTCTCCATAACATCCCTATCTTCTAAAATAAGCTTCGTGCAAGTATTCCTCTTATCTTCCTCAAGCATGCAAATGCAAGAAAAAATCAAGGCCAGCTATCTTTTTATGAAGAGAAGGCTCTTACTTTTTTATTCTCTTTAAGATTCCTTTTTTGGTACATCATTTGGTATCATAAGAAAATGTTATGAAGGTGATTACTTCTATACTTGTGCCACCCATGCCAGTCCTTCCACAAATTAATTAAAAAGAGCCCTAAACTATGCCTAACCTTGAGTTATATGAACTCTTATATGTCGACATCTATGAAACAACATTTCTTGTTCAATGAATGATGCATAGATTTTTTTCATGACATACAAATAAAATATTTAAACAAGCCTATAAAAATTTAAATTCTTCATTACTCAATAGATTCATCATTACAAATTTATTGAATATTTACTTGAGTTTGTCACATAATTACACATGATTGCAGGCCTTATTCAATATGATAATTACAATAAGTCATATTAATATAAGTTAAATTATAATAGGTCTTATTGTACTTATAACTTATGTCAATCATTTCAATCATCATCACTCTCATATGAATTATAACTGATGTTTACAACAACTTAATATTGAAGAATATGAATGCACTCAATATTTTTATGTTGATTGATGTTTTATAAAGACATCATATCGTTTTTGCATTCATCACCATTAAAAAATCTTATTATGATGAAAAATCACATCACCCAATAATGTTTTGAGCACTAAAGTTCAACAACATCTACCAATTTTCGAAATTTAGGTACCCGTGTCTCCTCCACCAACTCTAAATTACTATTGTGATTATTGGGATTTCATATATGAGCTTGATAATGATGATAAGTTTGTTAAAAATATTATAATTACACATTGCCATATAAATATTAGAGATATAGAATCATTCAATTCCATATAATAATTAGAACACTATCTAATATTTATAGTAGGAGTTTATAATCATTATTATGATAATATATCCCATTATTATATATATTTTTATTTTTTGATGTTTTCCATTATAACTATTATTTGTTTCCTATATATAGGCACTATTGTATCAACATATTATTCAATTTAATAAGAGTATAATTCTAGCTTCTACTAATGGTATTAGTAATCAAGTCTCATGATGAGCATGAGTTTGTAATTATGTCATAAACAATTGATGACCCTAAATGTAAGTTAATGCACAAGCCTTAATTTATTTTTCAATTTTAAATTCATACATGTGTGTGCATGTGTGTTACACAATATACGACATATTCCTATAATGTCATCAATTATGAATTTCCAGAAGTTAAATGCATATGCAGAGGTATAAAAACTTCAAAATATAATGCTTATGACTTACTATTCTTTTGATTTCATCCTTTCAGCATATTGCAAAAAATGGTGTTTTTGGAGATTGAAATGAATGAAGACATTACAGTACCTTTTCATATGCTCGATCTCGAAAGGCTTCCTCTTCCGAAGGTTATACTCCTCAACCTCCTCCATAGAATTGGTCTTCGGAAAGCATCCCAGGAACACGGCTACTATATTGCAATCACTACTTTGAACACCATTTCTGAATTGCTTCGTGATGAGGATTCTAGTGTTATCTTGTTCGCAGTATCCTTAAATTGCACTGCAGTGAAGCCTTGCAAAGGCGAGATCTTAATTGGCACCGTAACTAAGATCATGGAGGATGGCATTATGCTCAATTCTGGACCAATGGAGAACATTTTACTTCCAGAAACAATGATGAATGATTACGAACTCAACATGTCTGAAGAGCCAATGTTTTTAAAAGTGAATGGATTGTCATACATGAAGAAAGACACTAAGGTGAGGTTCAAAGTTCTCGACATTCAATGGGCTGAAAGGAACAAAGAGTTTAATATTTGGGCAACTATTTTAGGTGATTATCTTGGACCTATTTGAGCTTTTATGTTCATTATTTGGAATTTTTGGCTTATATTGTGATGTAAGAGATGTATGCTTGTACTTGGGTGGGCATTCTTTTGAAGCAAATGACAATTTATATAATTAAATGTTTTGTACTCTTTTGAAGCAAAGGATATCCTGATTCAAATCTAGTTGAAGTGGATTTTATAGCTAAAAGATTTATTTTGTGATGAGCATAACATAAGTTTATCAATAAAAAATTTCATTGAACTTATTTCAAAGTTAATATGATGTAATAATCATATTGAACAAATTTGAAATAGGATAAACTAACATAAATTTGCTAATATGTACGAATGAGCCAATTTATAAATTAAAAATATTATAGAGACAATTTGAGATAATTTTCTTACTACTTTGCTGTTCAAATCACACACAGTTCAATTTAGCTATTGCCTTATCGCATCTTCGAAGAAATATCTATGCTAGCAAATTGCTTTTTATAGCAACTTTAAAAAAAATTATTTTCCTCATAAGCGCTTTACATCCTCCTTTACAAAAAGTGCAATCACCCTGAATAGATTCATGATATTTTAAAGGCGACTCCTTTTCAAGTATCTAACGACAATTAATCTTATTGGATTTTAATCATGCAAATGAAAAATAAATTATAAAAATTTAGAGATTGAATGAGAAAGATTATGCTAAGCAAATGTAGTTTAAAAGAATAGATTTTATTTAATTAACACTTTATTTTTCTTCAACAAAATACAAAAAATCTAAAAAATGAACGTTCATTTAATTTATAAATCCAATAGTTTTTCTACCTTATATGTATTTGTAGACTTTAGTATCTCTTAAAATAGAATAGAAATAGGCATTCAAGAGCATCTAAAAAAAACACCTTCTTAAAATGGCTACATGCATGATTACACGAGAGTATCCTAAAGTGGCAATTATATAAATATATATATATATATATATATATATATATATATATATTTTAAATGATATCAGAAAAAGAGGCAATGGATAAGATTTAGCACGCGCGCGGGTCACTGAGACAGAGCAAAGTGCTGGATGTCAAGAAATAGGAGTTTTAGGGGGTGGGAGTGTATATTATTAGTTTTAGGTGTTATATATGTAAAAAAGCGACTTTTATGTGATATGAAGTTAAATCACCTCATGATCTAATTAATTATAATTAATATGATTTGATAAATTTAATGAAATATATAAGATGAAGTATATTTGTCATCATGATCTAATTAAATATAATAATATAATTAACATTATTTAGTGATGTCCAAATTAAGTATTTAATCATTAATAAAATATTTTCTGAACGGTTTTATATATAAAAAATAAATATGAAGTATATTAAGTAACTAAAAAAAAATAAAAATTATGAATATATATTGAATAAATTTAATCAATCTTAATAGTTGTGCTCATCATCACTAAGAACATTGATAAGAGACTACTCAATCAATTTGCAATGAAATTTAATTAAGGCTTCATTTAAGATAATTTTTTTTTTTTAAATATACTAAAACACTGCTTTAGAAAGCAATAAGAATGATCTCCCGAATGAAGCATAAAACTCACACATTAAGTTAAAGTGATCATTCTCTCAACTAGCTAATTAGTGAAATCAATTTTTACCTTGATGATTGCTATAAAATGATTAATTCAAAATAAAATATTTAATAAATTAGTTACATAACTCAAAATATATCATCATCAAATTAATGATCTCCCGAATGAGAACTTTTATTTTATCCAGTGAACGTACGCAGAGGAAGGTTCGATTTTAGGCAAAAAAGCGCCTGTACCGAGTTTTTTCAGTTTTTTGAAAAAACTCGGTACAGTCGGGAAAAACTCGGTACAGACACTTTTTTGCCTAAAACCGAACCTTCCTCTGCATACGTTCACTGGATATAATAAAAGTTCCCCCAATGAAGCCTAAACTAACAAACCAGATCATCTATGAAGTAGGTGAAATTTCTCTTAATCCCCACTATCAAACTTGAATGCTTGTGGATCAAAACCTACCAGCATCCTTTTATTCTATTATTGCTTAAAGTATTCTTCCCTACATTCTAAACTTAGAATCATGCATAGAAATCTGGCAAATGATCAAAAGGAGACTTCAAACTATCAATCAGTCTTGCTCACTACAACTGAAGAATACGTTGCACCATATATCCATGAAGGATATGACAATCTATCCGACATCAAGAGCAAATGTGATGCTATTTCTGCTTTTGGTTCTATATTCTCTGAATGGATTATCGTCCCAATACCAAGCTTTTAAGACAATAATTTGCACCAATCTTCAGCCAATCAACTTAGATGACTTGTTATGTAGTGAACAACTCAATATTTGGAGCAATTATTACATATGGTGTCCGAATGCATTCAGAGACTAATAACCACGCGCCACATCACCTAAAACTCGGTATTTAGGACTCGGTATTGCCCGGTATACATTCGGATTTCATCGGACGTAATAATTTCTCCAATATTTGAGCCAAATCTGCTCGTGAAAGATCAACTTACACATCATCAGACTCGCTACTTGCTCTCACAACTTTCTGTGGATGAGGATGTTCACGTTATTACTGTAACCATGGTTGCTCTCGGTCCGGTGCAACACCAACTAATCATACTCCAAAATCTAGTTTTTACAGTGGCAGAATAAATTCGCCTTATCTTGAGTACCAAATATGCAAAAAAATGTGGTCACTCCATTTGCAAATGCTGGGATATAACAAATCCGCAATATCAGACCTCTAGTTCCTCTGCTTTGGTAACAAGTTTTGCTTAAGGCACATCCGATTTGATACTCGACTTAGGAGCTACTTTGCATCTCACGCCTGTCATCAACCTTTTACAACAACCACAACATTATACTGGCTCTCAGCGGGTTCAAATTGGCAATGGCAATATGCTACCAATAACACATTCCCGGCCTAGGACTTCTTCCAGCTGCACATCTTAAGTTGTGTCTGGACCCTTTGTTTCATTTTCCTCACCTTTCACACATTCTTTTTTGTGTAAATTAATTAGTTACTGATAATCCTTGCTCGGTTATCTTTGATATATCTGATTTGCCTATTATGGTTTCGCTGAACAAGCAAACTCTTCTCCAGGGTCCTGCTCATCAATGACTTTTCCAATTTAACGCTTCTCAAATTGCACCACCAACTTCCATTGCCTTGCTAAGTACACTCTAGCATCATCATTTGGGCCATCTGTCTATGTCTACACAAGTTATTCTTCTTACAGAGTTTTCATCTTCTTCTTTTAAGTTTCATTGTACTTCTTGTTCTCTAGCAAGGAGTCACGAATTACCTTTTTCTCATTCTCTTAATTGGAGCAAAGAACCTTTAGAATTGATACATCCTGATGTATGGGGTCCTTTCCCAATTTTTTCAATTCAAGGATGTAAATATTATATATCTTTTGTTGATGATTATTCTCGATATAATTGGATTTTTTCTATGAAGCTTAAATTCGATACTCTTTCCAAAATTTTAATGTTTAAATTTTTGGTAGAAAACAATTAATAAATCCATTAAAACTGGTCTCTCCGATAATGGTGGTGATTTTATTAACATAAATTTCTAAACAACCCTTCAAAATGTCGGCATTCTTCATCAATTAACTTATCCCTATACACCTGAATAAATGGTGTTGCTGAAAGAAAACACCACCACATTATTGAAACACCACATATATTAATATTTGATGCCAAAATCCCCTCACAAGTTTGGGTTGATACTTTGCTCACCACTTTTTATTTAATCAATCATTTAACTATTTCACATAGACCTAAAACCTCTCCCTATAAACTAGTCTACAAAGAACTACCAAATTATAATCATCTTAAAATGTTTGGTTGTTTGTGCTACCCATGGCTACCAAATATTTCCAAACACAAATTTTATACCAAATTACCTTCTTGTGTTTTCTTTGGTTACGCTTCAACTTTTAAAGGTTACAAATGATGCAATCTAAATACTCATAAAATTATCATTTCAAGACATGTTCAAATTTTTGAACAAATCTTTCCCTTTCAAACAATCAACAATTCTTCTCTAACTACACCACCTCAACATTATCTTCCACCATTAACCTTAGTTCCAATAACATCTCTTTTAGATGCAATATCTCCAAACTACAATAGTCCTACTCTTTCCCAACTGCCTAACATCCCTTTTCCAAACTCCAGCAGCATTCTCTCCTAACTCCCTAACAAGCTTTCTCCACACTCTTCCCAACATCCCCACCATCCAGATACAACCTCCTCTAATTCTATCCATTCTTCATCTCCCTTATCAAATAATTTCCAACAACTAGCTTCTAAAACTCATCCCATGCTCACCCGCTTTCAAACTGGCCACTTGAAATCCAAGCACATTATTAGCATGTCTAAGAGTCAACATTATACTGATCCTACATGTTATTCTCAAGCTTCCAAACAACTTGTTTGACATCAGACCATGTATGCAGAATTTGAAGATCTTCAATCCAAAGGTACTTGGATGCTTTTTCCACCATCTCTAACTCAAAATGTTCTTAGGTGCAAGTGGATTTTCAAAACAGAATATCATGTCAAAGGCTCAACTGCTAGACATAGAGTTAGATTGGTAGCTCAAGGTTTTAAACAATAATATGATTTGGATTACTTAGAAACTTTTAGTCAAGTTGCTAAATTCCCTACTATTTGCATTCTTCTCATCGTGGCGGTCACTCAAAAGTGGAAAAGTGTTACAATTAGTTGTGTCAAATGCGTTTCTACATGGTGATCTTCATGATAGTTTATAAGTATGAACCACCAACCTTTCTTGATCCAATGCATCCAAATTTTATTTTTCTTCTAAATAAGTCTATTTAAGGCATAAAACAATCCCCAAGGCAATTATTTGCTACACAATTGATCCCTCTTTAATGATTTACCAAACGGACGCAACCGTTCTTTACCTTTTGATATATATAGATAAGATTTTGTTAACTGGTAATAATGCTCA